CCCCTGTCGAGGAGGGTAATGGCGTTGCTCCTTTCGAGCGACATGACATCCTTGTCGAAGGCCATCGACAAGCACTTCCCGGAGCATGGAGATGTGATGGCGTCCGATGTTCCAGCCGCGAAGATCGAAGTCCTGCGAGACGCATTGGTGGCAGGGCTGCAGATGTTGCCGGTGCCCTCGCTGGAGATGATCCGCAAGTCGTTCGGTGTGTCTTATGGCTTGATCATCCGGCACGGCCCGGAGCTCTGCCCGGAGTACATGGTCCACCTGCGGGGGCCGATGCCGGCGGAGAAGGTGGCCCGCATGCGAGAGCTGTTGCAAGAACGCCGGCACAGTCTCCGGGACATGGGCAGGCAGTTGGGGATACTGGCCGATCAGCTCCGCTGGTACATCAGCTACTACGAGCCGGGGGTGGTATTACCCTATTCCGAGGAACGGCCGGTGTGGCAACTCACCCGGCCGGAGGGTGTGGCCCGGCTGACGCTGGCCGAGTACACGCGGCGCTTCTTGCCGGCCACTTCGCCGGTGCACCAGGCCCCCCCGGGTGAAGGGTCGCCGGCGGGCGAGGGGAGCCATGCGCCGGCCGGGCCATCGGCGGCCAATCGGCCGGTATACTTCGACCCGCAGGTGCATGGGTCCGGTCCGGGGACGAATGTGCCGATGCTGGCGCTGACGTTGAGTCGGGACCTGGAAGTCGAGACCCGGGGTCTGGCTGGGCTGCGGCCCATCGTGTCAATACGGGAAATGTGTGAGTATTTGGGCATGCCCCTCAAAACGTTGATGAGTGCGATGTCCTCCTTCGGATGGCCCGAGGGCTTTTGGGATCCGCGACCGACATTCCTGAAGTACGCCCTGGCGGATGAGGACATCCGGCGGCTGCGGCGGCTGGCGAGGCAGGTGCACCCGTCCGGCCGGCGGATGCGCTTCACGGTGCGGGAGCTGGCCGCGGAGATGGGCCAGCAGCCGGATGTGCTGTTCGGCATGCTGTACCGGTATGCGCCGGAGTACTTCTTCCTGGCGCTGG